CACTTTGCACATGTGACAAGGGTCTCCAGAATGGTGCAGGATCATTAAGTGCTTTAAATGAGCACTTTTATAACCTGTATTTCTGTAGCTCTGAAGTAACACTTCTAAACTGTTCCTGCATTGAGTAGTAAACCAGTCACAGTAGTGACTCCTTTTTTTTTTTTTTTTCTTATTTTCAGAGAAGATAAGATCTGAATAGAAACTGGTGGGAAGTGTTTATTGCTTCAGATGGTAAAATCAGTGAGAAAATCTCATGTGCATACAGCTAGCTGGAGCAGTGGGAAAAAGCCAGTAACACAAGCCCATTTGTTTTCTGGAGCTCCCAGTATTACTACTTTTGAATGCCACGTGGCCCAGCATCATGGGAAAGAGCTGTATTCCCAGGTGCGCTCTGCACTGTGGTGATAAGCTGCTGCCCTCTGTGAAAAAGCTTGTCTGTCAGAAACCCAACGCATCCCTGGGCATCCCTTGGGACTCAGGTGCTATTGCCCTGGGCTGCCACAGGTCTAAGTTGAAAAAAACGTATTAGTATTCAGAGAAAAACTGACTAATAAAAGTATCGTCTTATGTGATTGTTTCTATCTTGCATTGACCAGTTGGCTCTTAAACAAATTTAGGTTTTAGTTGCATTGTTTGCTCTGCTGGCATAAAGATTGGGGGTTTAGCCCCTTCTTCCAACCCTGCTAATAGTCCAGTGAAACCGTTCTCTGCCGTTGTGTTTCATGATGATGATGCCTAAAACTAGAAATGAGTAGAAGAATGACAACATAGATTGAAAAATGTTGCAGATCAACTGCTTACTCTGAATTCCCAGGAAGCGGGTGAGCGATCTTATTCTTACAGTTTCATTAATTGGAAGGAGCTGTGCCCTCCAGAGGGCTGCCAAAGACATTTCCTCCAAAAGGTTCACATTTGTAAAAGTGAAATAGAAAGAGGGAGAAAATTAAGGCTATCTGTATCAGTAGAAGCTGAGTTTTATTAAAAATTGTGCATGCAGCTCTTGTATGGCTGTCAGAGACAGGACTGTACGGCTCCCAGAAGTATCTTATGCAGGATGGGAAAGGGCAGGAAATTGAGTCTTTCAAAAAGCAATAGGTAATCATACCTGTGATAATACTTTTGAAAATGGAATTTTCAGAAATCTTGGTGTGATAATAGGTTATATAAATGTATTAATACATCTATGCAGACCCTCCATATGTAAGATGTATGGTCTGCATAAGGTTGTACTATACAAAGACTCTGTATTCGATTTCAGTGTTACTGACGTGTGTGCATAGGGTATCAAAAAGCTGGGGTTTGGTTTTAAGGCTTAATGTAATTGGTAAAGTTGCTGGTGTTGTTTATTCACCCAGTTGGAGGAATTTATGTAATTGTTATCCCTTTAATTTCAGTATTCTTATAATCAAAGGTTGGAAAAATGTAGCTTTCTGTGACACGTAAATGATGAAGAGAGAAGGACAATTTTATGCTTACTTAGCTGGGGGGATAAATTAGCCACCTCCACTGGTCTCCCTCCAGTAAATCTTGTCCTGTGGAGCACAGAAATGGTACACACTGCTCCAGATGCAGTCTCTCAAATGATGAACAGAGGGAAAGATCACTTCCCTGGACCTGCTGACTACATTAATGCAGCCCAGTATGCGGTAGCCGCCTTTGCTGCAGGGACACTCTGCTGACTGATGTTCAACTTGGTGTCCACCAGGACCCCTACGTCTTTTTATGCTTTCCAGCTGATTGACCCCCCAAGGTGTACTGGTGCATGGGGTTATTCCTCCCTGGGTGCAGAACTTAGCATTTGCCCTTGTTGATATTTGTGAAGGCAGGAGATAGGAACTAATGTCCACTTTATTTCATCAGGTTTAACATCCTGGGTCAAATTTGTCCCTATGGAGCAACCTTGAGGGATATGATTGTATCAGGTACAAGTTAGAGACGAATTTGATCCTGTAGGTCCTCAGGTTGCAGTCTGACATTACACCTGACCCAGTGTAACTGCAGGCTGTTACTGAAATGGATAAATCTGGTCTCCCCCCATCCCTGACCGTATGCTTCTGTTAATTTTCTTATATCAAATTTAGTTGACTGTTCAGCCACAGCATCAGATCAGCAACTTAAAGAACAGAATGCCATCCGTCTGCTCTGAAAAAAAAATGAATATTTTATTTTGGCCCAGAAAGCTTGAATGACGTACCCATGGCTGCATAGGTTGAGGCATGGTGCAGGAAAGGATGAGACCAGGTCCAGACCTTTCAATGCCAGCACTGAGTTACCCTGGATTAGGCGGCTGGTGGTTTGATGTTTTACAACATAATTTTGTTGGTCAGCTCCAGTCATTTCTGGGTTTACAAATATTGTAGGCAGGTGGATAAAACAAAAATCGTTGGGAAATGAATCATAGAAGATGTATTAAAATCTTACAAGTCATTTCGGAGAGCTGCTTTAAAGATGTTTTTAATCCTCATTTTAAAAATAGATTATCCAACTGTGAAAATCACACTGAATATTTTTAAAAGGATAAGTAGCTAATTAAAACACATACCTAACAGTGTTCAGTGGGTGACTGGTTGTGAGATGTCATATCTGAAGGCAGATACACTGCTCTTAACCTACAATGCTATATATAGTCCTGCTCACAAGTTAAAGACCTCAGAAACTGAAACCTTGTTAATTGACTGTTACCACCTTCTGTTGTGCCTTCACTTGTACTGGCATTGAAATCCTCGAGTAGGGCTGCTTGTGAAAGGGAGGGGTCAGATGTTACAGAAATACTGGCAAATGGGTTGTGTATGAATTCTAGATTCCCAATGAAAAAAAAAATAGTGAAGCAAATGCTGAGACTTAATTACGAGTTTAGAAGACCAGCGAGGGAAGGAAACGTCTGCCTGTACCTTTGTGCGGACAACTTCCAAGGAGGATTTCCCTGCTTTTATAGAGTAGGGTATCTTGCAGACGTGAAAAACTTGAGAGAAGTGAAATTGTTGCCCCCTCCCCTCTGAATGGAAGGGCACAGTGAATAGTTTCTAAACTTTCAGAAAATAGGCCAAATAAGATATGTTTGTGGGGTAGGAAAACCTCCACACATGCTCACCCCGAAGGAGGCTCTGTGGCGTGCCATGGTGCCTGTGAGCTTTGGCATGATTTGTGGGTGTCATCTACCTGGCTCTCTCTTTGTGCTGTAGGAGGTCAATTATCCTATTCCTCTCTAAGTTTTAACTGTATTTTCTTTCGGAGTGTTTAATTGCCTAACACAGCTGAGCAAATTCAAAGTGAACGGTCCCTACTTCTACTTTACTTGATACTTGGTGCATCTGTTTCAGATGGGCTTCTAAGTTCAGCTGGATAAATCATTAAGTCAAAAAAGATACTAAGTTTGCCTCTGGCTTCTCCTCCTAATATACTAGAGACAAGAACACTTAGTAGTTGTGGCACTTCTTCAGAGCAGTGAATCACTTGTGGCTTCCAGGATGTCACCATCTCCAGGTGCAAAGCCTGCCATTTTACTGAGACCTCTCACAAGAGTCCAGCTGGGTCACTGGCTGAGTCCCAGTCTTGTTCCCCATAAAGAGCATACTAAGAGCAAACCATACTTGATGGCAATATCCTGCCCAGGGCATGCAACTATGCATAAGAATGAAAGGTATTGGGGTAGTTGTATGGCAGTGTAGTTGTGTGAGTGTATCTGTGGAGCACGTTACCATTTTTGTGGGGGTTTAATTCAAAATAGATTACCAGTGGTCACAATAATTATACGGGTGTCTGTAAATCAAGATGAGATATCTTCTTAAAAACACATAGGAGGTCAATTACAAGTTCTTGTCTCAGTCCTGAAACAGTTGAAGTTCCTTGGCTTGTGCCTTTCCAGGTCAATCAATAGTGCTTAGCTCTCAACTTGATTTTGTAGCATTTTATTAAAATGAAAACATGATTAAATGGTGTCTTTCACATTGGCAGTAGAAAACTAGGAGAGCATTTGAATTATATCACTCCATTGTTAAGACAGTTTTTGGTAATTGGTTATTAATTTTCATTATCTATATAGAAGTGTATCGCACTTGGTAATTCTTATTCAAATGAATGTATGTTCATGTCCAGAGGGCCTGTTTGTACCAGAATTACACATAGAACATTTAATTGTGTCAAAGATCAGGACAGTTTTAAAGTCTATTTCCATAAAATATTTTTCCTTAGCTTAACTTTAGGTAAGTGAGAAGGTAGCAAGTATTTGGAGTATTAAGTCATTAGTGAAGGGAAAAAAAAAAAAAGGTGAAAAGCAGAATACATTATCAGCTGTCCAAAGATATCACAATATTTAAACTCCATGTGTCCTCATAATTTTTAAAGTATTGCTTATGGTCCAAAATGGATGACGGTGTTGAACACTTATTTAGCTGGTTTAAAACAGATTTTAGTAACATTTTTTAGAAACATAGGACAGGATTGCTTTTGTTCTCTTTTTAAGTAATAAAAAATTTATTTTAAATGTAATGCAAATGTAGAATAAGCCACCCTTGGATGGTTTAGGGAGCAAAATAATGTTTATGCTTAGCAAGAAGTATCTGTGCAGCTTTTGTAGTGAAGATAACCTCTCAATTGGTATGAATTTGATAGCGATTGTGGGGGAATGTCATGCAGAGTTTTAATGAAATCTTAATGAAATAATCTGATCAGATGGACTTCACCACAAGGCAGAAGGCTTGCGTTATGTTTGTGCCCCACTTAAGCCATATTTTGATAGCTCACTTGGGATTTAGTTGGATGTGAGCTTTGGGTGGAGTGAAATGTGTTTCTAAATCTTCACCATCCTTTGCTGCATTATGAAGTGATTTGTCCATCTGGTCCTCTTAGAGAAAAAGCCTGAGTAGCTTCTGTGCCCAGACAAGAAAGCTCACAGCGGAAAGCTTTTTGTTTTAAGGACATTGATAAAAAGGAAGGATTTAATTAAGTGTAAGGAGAGCTGTTGTTGAGTAGAGCAAACAAGTAATGTAGACACTTTGGGGTTTATAACTGGGATATATTTTCTCCTATGAGAGTTCACTGACATTTGCTTTCTGAGCATATACATTAAGAGAAGGACTTGGATATGATGAAAGTTGGGAGGACAAGTGCTGGTTTTTTAATGTATAAAAGTCATCACTCTCATGCAGCATTTGAACAACATAAAAGCAGCTGCATTTGCCCGTCCTTACTCCCTGTAATGCCAATTTTATTTTCATTCTGTAACTGATTGTGTTATCAACCCTTGCTGATGCTACATTTCTTAGGTACACAAGGATTTGGACTTGTGTGCTCAGTGTGGTTTTGTATCTTTAGATAATATTTATTTTTTCTAAGTAGCTGTAACATTCACATTTGCAACTGTCTGTTTGATATGTCCCTTCAATACTTTAGCCTTCAAGTGGCTGAATAATAGTGAATGAGAACTGGGCAAGCAGAGAAAAAGAAACCAGGGTAGTAATCAGTTCCTTTATGGAAAGATATTGAATTTTGATAAAGGCATGAGACTGTAACCTGTCTGTTTTTGTTTCCTCTGTTGTAGGCTGCCTTTCCCTGCAGGTGACCGGGTAACTTTTAACGGGAAGGAGTGCATCTGCCAGAAATGCTCCCTGCCCCCTTCCAGCAGCACCGGCTCTCTCCCCGTACAGAACCTGCGAAGTGAGTAGGGGTTTCCGCTCTTTTCTCTGGTACTTCTTACTCTGCACAGTCTTAAAGAACACACTTTTATACTGGTATGTTTAACTGGACTTTTTACCACTGTGCTGCTTAAAAGGTGTCAAGAAATACAATGTAGGTATGTGAAAAAGTATATGGCAGTTTTCTGAGAAGTCTGATATTAAAAAGAAACATAAATGGTGCCATTATAGGGTTAACAATAAAAAGAACCTCCCAGAACATTTGATTAAAACAGGAGTAAATCAAATTATTTGGAGAAAGGTGTAATACAGATCTTAATATTTTTGAGGATTTAGTCCAACTCCAGCTAAAATAAAATCCAACATGATATCTAATCACTTGTAAGTGTTCCACGGTTGCCTCAGGAAATATCAGTGACATGGCTGCATGGCTAAATACTACACAGGAAGGGTTAATGTATGCAATGTGACCAGAGGGACATTTGCCTTGGCCTCAATACTATTGTGTACTATCAGAAGACACCAATACTGCAGAGAAGAAACGTGGTCTTTTCATAACACCTTTTTTGCAGCAGATGATAGAGTGGCATTGTTGCTCTGAACTCTGTTCCTCTGCTGATTTGTTCATGAGGAGCTGCCATGTCATAACATTCATCCACTGCCTGTATGTAATTAAGCATCAACAGCCATTCAATTAAACAGCAAGACAGAAATATTTTTAATGACTATCATATCACATCAAGCTGGATTCGGCATGGAAAGACCCCATAGATTGCTCTTCTTTGTATATAAGGAATCCAGCTCACTTCAGGGAGAAATGTCTGGTTTTTCTTCTTTGTTTTTCCCCATATCTCTCTTTTTACAGAAGTTTTCACCATCCCCTTTCTCCACTTTGTCAGCAAAAGCTGCTGTGTGAATGCAGTGAGAGACGCTATGCTGATTCCTCTCTTGCTAATGCTGTTCTCTTTTGGGGAGGGGATGGCTCAGTCTCCTAGGTGCTTTCTCTTGTCACTTATTCCAGAGATGGATCATCCTCAATCATCTTGGCTGGCTGCATTTGCAGATCCATACTTTAATGCCCTATCATCTGTTTGTCTCCTTGTCGTACGGGAAAAGTGGCTTTGACTTTAATGGAAATTATTTGCCTGGTTGAGTACTGACAGAACAACTTCATTTGATTATCTGTAATACAGAATCCTTTAATGTACTTACATTCCCTTTCTCTGTACACACACACCACCCCCTAGAGAGTTTTTCTTGTGTTGCATTTCCCCCGCTCGCTCAGGTCGCTGCACCGAGCCTCCTCAGTGCATGGGTACCTGCAAATCTCAGCAAACCACTTGCCCCAAAGAGAAGGAGCACTGGAAGCATATCTTTGTGGCAAAACCTGACCTTGGAAAACAAAAGTTTAGCTTTTCCCTGAATAAAATCTAATACAGATGCAAGTATTTAAACCTCAAATACAGGTCTGCTTTAAAACTCATTATAAATGGAGGAAATCTTGCTTGCTACAGGTTTAGGTGGATTCAGATAAGAGTCTTGGTTCAAACCCAGATATCTGCCACACTGTAGTCTGGACTTCTAAAATAATTTGATTTGGTCTTCACCTGAGACTTACCAGCTCTGCTTCTCAAATAATGTAGTGATGGGGGTGAGCTAATAGATACCATGGCTTCTTAAAGGGCAAACTGAGGTCCGTATCTGGTCTGCAAGTAAGTTGTGCCATGATGTTGCCAGGATCCCAGATCAGTATCTTCCTTACCTGTGTAGACCATGTCCATTCTTATCTCTTCCTTACTCCATTTCCCCAGTGTCTTGCAGTGCTGCTGCAGGGCAGCATCTTCTGATTTCATGGTGATGTGCAGCACCCAGCTGGCCCAGGAGCTGCAGAGCTCATGGGCTTTGGGAAATTAGGTAGCAATGGTGTAATCCATGCTTGGTGTGGGGAATAGAGCTTTGATGGGTCAATGGGAAGCACTGCAGCCACAAATACACGGAGGTGCGTGCATGCATATATAGAGCAAGTTATGTCAGAGCCTGACCAATGACAATATACAGAGAATTAACCAAATATCTAAAAAAAAAATAAAGAATTTGGGAAACCTTCAGATTAATATGTAATATGTGAGAGAGCAATGTGTAATAACAGCTGTTTTCCAAGCACTTAACTAATCCTTAGGCTAGAACCAGTGTTTCAGGAATAAACAAGCACTGTCAGAGGCATCTTGTTTGAACTGGAAAATCAAAAGTCCAGGACGGCTGGCTGTAGCTATGCTACATATTACACAAAGCAGTAAAGGGCCTTAGTGCCTCCTTGTTTTAACAACAGCCTTCTTGGAAAAGACCTTAATGTTTTAAATGAACAATTATTTTTATAAAAGAACAGTAGTGCACAAAAATACATGACTTCAAGCAAGCTGAGTCAAGGACCAACTAATACGTTGACCCGCTGTTACATTGGTTTTGCTCTTGGCTCAGAACTGCCTGATACGTAGTGTGTATGTTATTCATCAGCCTATTTGTCTCTGACTTGAGCTCAAGAATGCTTTCAGGAGATCTTTTGGGACTCATTGAGCTCCCAACATCACTGCCCCTTCTGACCGGTCCTTCTATTTTCATTCTCCCAGTTTGGTTTTGACCTCCTTTATGCATTACATTTGAAAGAAATCAAGAATGTAAAATATTTGCTTTTTGCCTGAGTCCTTGAATTTTTTATTATTATATAAATACCTAGCTACCTGGTTTGCTTCTTTTATAAAATGCTAGCTGTGAAAACCTCTTGTGGCAGCGTTGATGTTGAAAGAGTACTCAGGGAAGAATATCAACATGTAGCAGCAAATTGATGTGTTCTGCAGAGTTATTGGTTGAAATTAGGTGAGTCACCAAAGGATGCTGCATCCAAGACAGGAAGACAAGGACTTTGCATCAATAGGCACTGTTGGCATGGCAACTACAATATTTGTTTTTAATTATCTGGAACTTAACAGAGAAAACAGCAGTTAGGAATAAAAAAGTAGCTCACAAAATGCTGCCTTTTCTGCTCGCCCAAGCTTAAACCAGATGAAAGGTGAATGACATCTGAGCACACAGTGTTGTATTAAGGTTGTGAAATAAACCCTCGAGCGGTGGGATTAAATTAGATTAACAGATGAACCCCTGGTGCAGGGGAGATCACAAAAAATTCTGATTTCAGTTAAAAAATAGATACTGCAGTGTTTCTTGTCTTGTGGGACTAAATCCAGGCACACACCCAAATGTTCTCTTTTATTAGCAAAACTCAAATGTTCTGATCTGTGGTGCACACGCTTTTGTGCTGGGCTTGTTTCCACGTATTGGTGCTCTACAGGGTGATATTAGAGAGCCATATTATTACTCCCTTAATCCATTCCAAATCCACTAAAGGAAAATAAAAACTATCCTTTATTGTTGTGCACTCAGAAGTTAAACATTTACAATTGCACTAACAGAGCGTCTCATTAGGGTCACGTAACCAACTAAATAGAACCTTAAATCAGAAAGTTTTTAAGAGGACTGTTTAAATCTTTTAATGAGATCCTATGTTTGAAGTTCTTTCTTAATAACTAGATAAATCTTTTTTAATGCTTTTGTGTATCTTTCTCTTTGATGCAAGACTTTATTGTGTTGTATTTCTCTTCTGGCATCTCTAAATGACTCTTCAAATGTCTTTCAGGGTTTTTCTTTTCTCTAGCAAACCATTGGTATACAAGAAGAATTCCTAAAGAAAAAATACGTGATTTTACATAAGATGGAAGATATAATCATATGGAGGATTTGAAGGGTTACTGAGATATTGATACTAGAATAAGTTTATTATTGATGTTTATCCTTATTTTTCCACATTCTGACTATTTTAACATTTTGTAAGAAAATTATACATAGATCCGAATCTGTAGAGAGTGAAGAGTGAATGAGAGCTGGACCGTATAGGGTAATGGAGGATTTATTTACGATACAGAGAACCAGGTTCAAATCCCATGTCAGTGTAGCTTCCCTAAACAGAGCCCTCACTGGTGGACTGTTGGCGTGGAAGCTGAGTGGATTTGGCTTTTACTACTGTAATCAAAAGCATCCATCATTTAAAAAAAAAACCAAAAAGCAACAACACCCCCCAAACAAGTCTTGTCCTCGAGTACTTTTTCTGAGAAGTATAGCTGCTTTGTGTATAGCCTATTTAACCAACATAGCCTAGCTTATGTTATCCAGTTATGATGCATTATGTGTTTAATTTTCCTTACAACATTTTGGAGCTTTATATAAGTGAATTTCTATAAATGATAAATATATAGCTAGGCATCACTTTCACATGTTGCAATGTCACTACTACTCAGGAATTTGTAATGCCTCTCAAATATTGGTGTATTTTTCCTGGTTATAGAAGTTCACTTCAGAATTTCAGCTTAGTTTTTTCCACAGCTGCAAAAAGAATTTTGAACTATGAGTAAAGTTTTCAGACCCAGAAGCAAAGTCTAATATGAAGGCTCAATTATTTGTTTTAATCTCATGACTTTTAGGTCTTATTTTATTAATTTTATTGGGCTGATTTGTGATGCTTGAAAACTTAATCAGCAAAGCTTTGTATCTTTTAAAGCAGTATGAATGAATTAAAATAAACCCTAAGTCACTAGGAAACCTAAGTCATTACTTTTTTCTTTGAATGATTCATGTCTTCTAGCAATGTTAGGACAATATTAGGGCAGCACCACTTGTCATCCGTCAGTGAGCACCCAGCAGCGAGCTTTAGAGCCTTCACGAGCTATAACTAGGACACCAATGGACCCTCATCCTGCAGTAACCAGTGTTGTTGCGTGACCATCTAAAGCGTGCGATTCACTCATACTGGATTTTTCTCTTGCAGATTGTGGGGGCTGTGGTTCAGAAATAAAAAATGGGCAGTCATTGGTTGCCTTGGACAAACACTGGCATTTGGGCTGTTTTAAGTGCAATACATGCGGCAAGCTACTGAATGCAGAGTACATCAGCAAGTAAGTTGAGTGGAGGAGCATTTTCACTCGTTTTCAGCATTCTTTTAGTACCACATAATTAGTTCAGTGTTGCATATCCTTTAATTTGTGTTTGTCAGTGTTTGGAGATACATAAAATATTAGAGATTATTACCTAAATTACTATCTAAATTGTACTAAACACAGAAAAACTCAAATGAAGAGAAGCAGAATTTGTCCATTTACCTGGAATGGGACTTGCCAAAGCTATAGAAAGGCAATGGGTGGAGTATGCCCTTAGTTAGCTATGTTTGACTTTGCTCTGTGCGATGCTGTAATGTGAACAAGCACTATCCTTTCCATGTGTTTCACATAAGCAAAAATGTTCTCAAAAAGTTCGTTAAGGAGGTATGTATCATGCTTTTGCGCTGCTCCAGACCCTCGTGCTGTCAGATTTGGACTGAATGTGATGACAGCAACGAGAGGCAGCACAAAGCACACATGCAGACCAAGTCCCATGTCAACACTCATATCAGTCCAGTGAGATACAGGGCTTTCACTGGCCAGGGCACCTGGGATTAATTTCTGCTTCAGAGAAGTGTGTTGATACGATGAAATTTTCCTAAACAGCTAAGTAACTCAATCACCAGTGCCCAGAGATGATGGAGTTTCAGAGCCAATGTCCCACTGACTTTCAACAATTCTTTGGATTTAGATTAATACAAGTATAACATTTAATCTCACAGCTTGCACTGGAGGCTGAGAAAACAATTTATAATAAAAGGGTGTTCTTAAATAAGGTTTTGCATTATGTCAAATGTTATGCTGCTCTGCTGTATTTTGGTACAGTGCTTTTTTGCTTGTTATTTAATAATAAAAACCCCATAAATTGTAAAAAGATATAGTTATTGTGAAATCCTCTTTTTTTTAAAAGCTAAATGCCAAACAAAATAACTCAAGAGAAGAAACAACCTTGCTTCAGTTAATTCAATTAATTATTGTGATAACTTATAGGTTAGTCTCTAAGAAATCCAACTTGTATGCTATAAAATTAATTTTTACGTTTCTCCAGGGAAATGTCCAATAAAATTATGTCTCTGCTAATAAATCTGTCTGATCATGGGCTGGTTTAGCATAGCACACTAAACTTAGTTAACTATGTTAAATGCAGACCACAAAATGATCAGAGGGATGGAACACCACTCCTATGAAGAAAGGCTGAGAGAGTTGGGGTTGTTCAGCCTGGAGAAGAGGAGGCTCCAGGGAGACCTTATTGCAGCCTTTCAATACTTAAAGGGGGCTTATAAGAAAGATGGGATCAGACTTTTTCATACAGCCTGTTGCAATAGGACAAGGAGAAATTGTTTTAAACTAAAAAAGGGTAAATTTAGACTGAATATAAGGAAGAAATTTTTTACAATGAGGGTGGTGAAACATGGGAACAGGTTGCCCAGAGAGGTAGTGGAGGCCCCATCCCTGGCAACATTCAAGGTCAGGCTGGACGGGGCTCTGAGCACCCTGATCTGGTTAAAGATGTCCCTGCTCATTACAGGAGGGTTGGACTAGATGACCTTTAAAGGTTCCTTCCGCCCCAACTGTTCTGTGATTCTATGTTTAACTTGCACTTTGAAACAGGAGAAGAGTCTCCAGTTTCTTCTAGAGTAATTTATTTTCATTCATCGGTTTAGCGGTCTAAATGTAAAGTTTTGTAAAATTGTGATCTAAATGTAAATTAACAAATAGGTTCATTTCAGAGCATTAGCCCAAGTGTTCTGGTTATCACTTTTTAGAATAAAAGCTAAGACTCCTGTTTTTATTCTTCATATTTTTAAATAGTACATTAACTTAAATCACTTGTGGTGGTGAAATAACTGTTCACATCATGCACGAACGTACTGCAAGGTCTCTTCTGCTGCTTAGGTTGAAGTCTTTTAGTCATTACTGGCTTCCATGGAGCAGGTTCCTGAGTTGGTTAATCCATGACTGTCTTTAAGCAAGGACGGTCAAGAATGTCAGTAGACTTAAGTGTTCATCAAAACTTGGTTTACAGTCAAAATAGTCAGTTGAGATATTATTCTGAAGTCTAAGCTAAATACAATTAGATGATAAATAAAGAGGGAAAGAATAATATGTAGTAATAAGTATTTTTTCCAGAGTACAAAATACATGGAAGAATTTAATGAGTAACGTTATCAAAACAAATGGTGTGAGAGTCTCAGAGAGCGAGTGTTGTGACTGGGGGAGAGGCGATGGCCGAATTCAGCAACAAAGCAGGAAAGTGGGATCGTGGTAGACTGTGAAGGGCCAGAATAGTTCGTTAACTATTCAGTTCTTTACAAAATTAATAAATACAAGTATTTGGGATGGGGAAAAGTCCCTAAACACCCTGTTAAATGTTGAAGCATTAACAGATATTAGCTGTATAATCCCCCAGTAAACCTGTAAGCCTACCTAAAGCAATCTCTGTGTGGCCTGTTGTTCTTCCTTAGGGATGGCATTCCATACTGCGAAACGGACTATCATGCAAAGTTTGGTATCAGATGTGACAATTGTGCAAAGTATATCACAGGAAGAGTGCTTGAGGTAAGGAGAACCTGTCATTCAAACACATCTCAAAGTGTACAAAAAGACTTGCTCTTTTGGGTCTAGTCATGTGCTCGCAAATGAGTGTTAATGCAGCAGTTTACTGTTACTTTTGTGAAATACTAGGAACTTTTTCTATAATTCTTTTCTGTTTCTTCTCTTAATGGTTTGATAATACACATACTCCTTAAATGGATATTTGTGGTACTGGAGAACGTTCAGGTAGCAGAAGTAATAAGTGAATGGATTATCAGGCACGTTTTAATACTTATACTAAATTCCTCTGTAAATTCTGCTCTTTGATTCCCTTTTACGTTCCCCAGAGTTAGGGTGAAGATGCTGAAAAACTAAAATGAATCATTTGAAATGTATTTTTGCACCCAGAAATGAGCTATGTTGCAGGGGTTTTTTGAGTTTGTTGTTTTAAAAAGCAAGGAGGTTGTTTAGTGTAGGTGAATGTTTGTACTTTATGCAGAAGAGATTTCCTCATAACTGACCCAGGATCAGAAATGGATATATTCCTTTGATCTGAATAGAATTTATCCTTGGATCTAAGTGTATGGTTAGCCAATCAATGTTATCATTTATCCAATTTTTCTTTCTGCCCTTTTCCTGTATCTTGTGAAGCCTTAACAGTACTGGAGTTAAGAAAAGGTTCCCCAGGTTGCTCAGTTCACTCCTTTCTCTTCATCAGTTAAGAAAGCCTGGAGGAGTCCCAAAGGACTTCCTTAACCAGAGAAAGGTCTGCTGGGAATCGTACAAAGACTTAACTATCCAAATGGTGGAGAATTATAGCTATGGAAGGGACTGAGAAGCAAGTGGAAGGGAACAATGAGTCCATACTAGATGGCATGGTATGCTGTTAGGGTTAGGTGTGTGAGGCTTTTCCGTTATCAAATGTTTTTACGGGCATCTCAGAAAACAGACTTCTAATAAGGGAGAAA